CAAGTGGGAATGGATCTCCTTGAAAGGAGATGAATATTCTCCTTCCCTTGACGTCATTATAAAATGTCAATTTCATCTCCATCACACCTCACCCCCCCTTCCATTCATTAATAAACTGGAAGATACCACTAGTTCAGTTTTGCCTTCTACCAAGTGTTGTGGCATTAAACATTATTATTTATTTTAATATCAATGTTCTTATCCTTCATCTTTTTTATTTTTATTTAACTTTTTGAGACTGTCTCCCTGTTCTTCCCAGAATGAAAATGAAGTGACCACTCTCAAGCCAAGTCCCATTACTGATTGGCATGGGAGCTTTGTCCTCCTCCATTTCTAACTTGGGCCAGTTATGTTCTCTTTAGGAAACCTCATGGGTGCCCCCAAATCTGTAGGAATCATCACGTTAATGCAAATCTTTATGTGGATACACAGTTGGCTTAGTCTACTGCAGTTAAGAATTCCTGAGCTCAAGGGATGCATTAGCCTCATCCTTCTCTAACAGCAGGGATTGTCATCATGTACCATTATACCTGGCATCTTCCTTCGTTCTCATTGAAGTTTAAAATAAATTATTTCATTGATAATGAAATTTATGCTTTTACATTTTTCTTGTTTTTCTTTAACATATTGGTAGAACATGATTTTAGTAATAAAATTGTATACATACATATACACATACATGTACATATACATATATACACACATTATATATATATACATATATACATATATATGTATATATATATATATATATATATATATATATATATATGTATATATATATATATATATATATATATATATATATATATATATATATATATATATATATATATATATATATACACATACACACACAGTTGCCTAGCTTCCAAAGAGGCAGATTGGAATACTGGATAGAACAGTGGATAGAAAGCCTCAAGATTGGGAAAACCTGGGTTTAAGTCTCACCTGACACATACTGACTGCTTGATCCTAGTCAAATCAACCTCTCAGAGCCCCCAAGCAATTCTCTAAAGCTCAATTACAGTTCTCCACAAGCTGAGGACCTTCCCTCAAAAGGAAGTCATTACATGAATGAAATCTCAGATCCAAACTCTCATACCCTTACAAACAACTACTACCACCTCTATCACCTTTCTAGCTATTTAAACTATATACTATAGTTAAAGTCTTACATATTTAATTATGCTTAAATGATAAGATCTTTGGAAATAAAAATTGTCTCTTTGTATCTCTATGTCTCCAAAATCTAGCACAGAATAGGCATTTAGTGAATGGTGAATTGAAATGAATTATTTGTATGGAAGCTTATATAGTATACTTATGTTATATTATGTCATAACTTTATATATTATATATACTCTTATAATGTTATAAATAATCAAATACGTTTGTTAGATTAGTCAATTATATAGACATACATTCAGCTTTGCACTAAATACACTGCTGATGTCAGTGACTGAAAGACAGCATGAGAGAAGTAGCTTACAGTAGGGTATTTTTAATCTTTTCTAAAACATAATAGCTCAGCAGATAGTTGTATACACTGTGGGAAACATGTTAAGCTGTTTGGAGAACATGATTTGGAAGTGGAACTTGAGTTCTCACACTGCATGGAATACATAAATCTATGTATAATATCAATTATGTCCTCCATTCAACAAACTGATTCAATATTTTTTTCTCTTATCTCTACCTCCTTATCTCTCTCTCTCTCTCTCTCTCTCTCTCTCTCTCTCTCTCTCTCTCTCTCTCTCTCTCTCTCTCTCTCTCTCTCTGCTTTATGCATCTCCTGTGTCTTTTTCTCCCTTTTTTATTTTGTAATTTGCATTGCATATAGATTTATGAATTTCACAATTTGTAAATTCCAGTCCTCCTACTAAATAATCTTATCCAAACTACATTAACACGACTCTCCCTGCATATACAACTATGTTCTAAGTTATGTTTTAGACTGGATAAGAGAATATCTCACTATAAGCTATTTCTCTTATGCTGACACTGAATCATCCTGAAGTCAACAGAGTGTATAGTGCAATCTGAGTGTGGAAGGTTTTTTAAACAAGTCAGAATTCACAGCTTGCAGGACAGTTCCCTTCATTTCCAACTTCTCAGCACACTGGTTCAATGTTTCTGAATGAGTTCACACATGTCAATCATGAAATCCTGAATGTTATTTTGTGACTATTAGAGGAAAGATAAATTTTATTGAATGTAATGATCTCACTTAAGGCTGTAGTTGTATTGAGTCTCCACGTCAGGTAGAATTAGTGTTTTCTCACAATTCCTTGAAAGGTTCCAAAAATAAAACTTTTGTTGTTCAAACTACCTACATGAGAAATATATTTCCTTATCCTCCTCATAGTAATTTTAGTTTTCTCTAAAAAAGCCTACTAACTATTTTAATGGGTATATATAAAAGTCATCAGTTCATATCCCCTGTACATAACTCCATAGAACAAAAGCCTAACACTATTGATTAAAACACAGTTATAGTTTTTTTTTTGAGGGGAGGAATTTTATAGACAGTTTATCAGATAAAGGTCCCATATCCATATATATAAAACTTTGTCAAATCTATAAGAACATGAGTCATTCCCCAACTGATAAGTGGTTGAAGGATATGAACAGGCAATTTTCAGAAGAAGAAATCAAAACAATTTATAATCACATAAAAATGTTCTAAATCATTATTGATTAGAGAAATGCAAATTAAAACAGCCTTAAGATATCATTTTGCAGCTACCAGATTGGCTAAAATGATAGAAGGGGAAAAGTGACCAGTGTTGGAAGGGATATGAAAAAATTGTGACACTAATTCATTATTGGTAGACTTGTAAAATGACCCAACCATTTGGAGAGCAATCAGGAATTATGCACAGAGTTATTAAACTATTTATACCCTTTGACCCAGGAATAACAATATTTGGTCTACTTCTGAAGATAATTAGGGAAAAAAGGAAAAATAACCTAAATGTTGTAAAATGTTTATAGCAGTTCTCTTTGTGGTGGCAAAGAACTAGAAACTGCAGGGATGCCCATCCATTGGAGAATGGCTTAACAAGTTTTCATATATAATTGTGATGGAATACCACTATGCTATAAGAAATGATAACCTCAATGATTTTAGAAAAAAACTTGGAAAGTCTTACATGAAATAATGAAGAGCAAAATGAAGAGAACAAAAAGAATATTGTATATATTAACAGCAATATTGTTTTAAGAATGACTTTAAGCCAATGAGTTATTTTGTCTGTTATAAATACCCAAATTAGCTATAAAGGACATATAAAGAAAGACACTATCTACATCCAGAGAAAGAACTGATAAATGGAAATATGCATAGAATAACTTTATGGGTATGAGTGTGGGTGTGGGTGTGAGTGTGTGTGTGTATCTAATCGTGGCCATCTCTGAGGGGGGAGGGGGAGGAAGAAAAACAATTTGTGTGATAATTTTGTTATATATTTGAAAGGAATAGCAAGTTCTACATAGTAGATTTACAGTTGCATATACAATCATCTTTTTATTGTATATTATAAAAATACTTGTTTTATTTCATAAGTAATAAATTGAAAAAAAAGTTTTTGATATTTTCTCCTAATAGCTATTCATTCACCTTTTCTTTCTTCCTACATCTTCCATCCTTAACTTCACTCACTCACACAAACACTGACACGAATAAAAATAACCCTCATGAGAACAGGCAGAAATGAAGTTATAGCACCAAACATACTGAAAAATCTTTCCTTCTCAGTATAAAACTGTAGGGACAGCTAGATGGGGCATTGGATAGAGTACTGGGCCTGGAGTAAGGAATATTTATCTTCCTGAATTCAAATCTGGCCTCAGATGCTTATTGGCGGTGTGACCCTGAACAAGCCACTTAACTCTGTTTGATTCAGTTTCTACACCTGCAGAATGACCTGGAGAAGGAAATAGCAAACCACTCTACTATCTTTGCTGAGAAAAACCCAAATGGGGTAACAAATTGTTGGAAGTGACTAAAACAACTAAACAAGAAGAAGAATAGCATTACAACTTTGAGACTCTAAAGTAGCTATGAATAGCCCCAGATGCATACCAGTATAAGGAGGAATGCCATGCAGTACCATAAGGAAGATACTGCTATAGTACCAGTAAGGTGCTTTTCTGTACACAATTCTCAATTTTTCTGCTCCTCTAAGGGACAAACATTATATGGAAACATTTTTTACCTTTTTATTTTCCTTTTCATGCTTAGGGAGTTATTAGTTATGACTCTTACCAGGTTCAAGGAGTTATCATGCCATGCTAAACCCACCCCCTTCACTCTGACTGCCAATTTACTAAAAGGGAAATTTTGTTCCAGTCAGAGAAAATATTTTCAAGCTACATGAATGCTTCAGGGCAGAGAAGATTCTTCTATTCTACTATATAACTCAAGTATCAAGCAAACAAACAAAATATGTAAGGCATTCCTTCACACACAGGGACAGACCTAAATCAAATAATGCTATATAGATGTCTGTTTATCTTAGACAAGCATTTCCATTCATTTATCCATTCCCCAAACTCATTCTTTTATTTTTCTTCCTACCTATGTCTTTGTATGTGACATCACACATACTCTATGACATCTATATGACTTTATTAAAGAAGTCATCTATAACATCAAGTTTATTCTTGAGTACATTATACAACTAGCTCATTTATTCTGATGTTCTAAAGCCAATTGCATTTAGCATTCTCAGATGCCAATATAATTATCCATGGGGAAGTAGAGGGAGGTTGATTTAGTTGCTATTTTTTTTTTAATTTTAGGGCCTCCTGTTAATCCTAGGTGCCACAGGAAGACCATCCTTCACAACCAAATGATCCCATTTATTGAAAATACTCATGTGATGAATTGGTAAACATTTTTTGCATTATTTAAATGAATTTTCCTTTGAAATTCACTGAAAAGAAAAATAATAACAATGTTGATCCTTAATGAAAATCGTGAAATTTGTACATACTCTGTGGAAATCTGGGTGGGTTGTCGTTGACATCTGAGAGTGTAATATTGACAGTAGTGGACCCTGAAAGGCCTCCAACTTGCCCAGCCATATCTTTGGCTTGAATGACAACAGAGTAGTGCTCTCTGGCTTCCCTGTCCATATTATGTAGGGCCGTCCTTATAACTCCTGTAATATGAGGGAGGGAGGGAGGGAGGAAAAGAGAGAGAGAGAGAGAGAGAGAGAGAGAGAGAGAGAGAGAGAGAGAGAGAGAGAGAGAGAGAGAGAGAGAGAGAGATCAGCATTAATTGAACATTTATGTGTCTTCTAAAAAAAATGCCTTTGATGCAATTTACTTAAAAGTTACCAATAGGCATCTGTCACAAGAAGTTTCTTATACAAATAGCTAGATATTTTCTTCAAAATATTCCATCATAAAATTTGCTTCCAATCACTTCTTACAAGGAAATTCATCATTGGCAAATGAAGATGTGTACCAAATGTACTCCTTTGACAAGACTGCTCATAGAGGGCAACAAATTTAATATAATAATAACAATGACTAATAATAATATGAATATTACATCATTCATTAAAGGTTCATGCTCAAAGCTTCCTCTCTTGTGGCCAAAGGCTATGATTGTTGCCTAGACCCAGGCCCAGTACACAGCTCTCTACCATTTGCAAACTCAGTTTCTGAAGTCAGTAATCAAATCAATCTTTCTTAGAAAGGACATGTCCTTTGATTTCAAAGATTATACTATTGATTTCCCTGTCCAAAACTCTCCTCCTTGGCTAGATATAGATATATAGACATAGCTCAATCTCTCTCTCTCTCTCTCTCTCTCTCCTCTCTCTTCTCTCTCTCTCTCTCTCTCTCTCTCTCTCTCTCTCTCTCCCCTCTCTTTTCCTTCCTTTCTTCCTACCTTCCTGTGGTATGATGGACTGGAGAAGGAAGAGGCTAAATGAGGTAAAATCAGTTAGGAATCTCTCGCAGTTGTCCAGATGAGAGTAAATATGGCTTGTTGTTGTTGTTTTGTCTATTAGTTGTATCTGACTCTTTGTGACCCAATTTGGGGTTTTCTTGGCAGAGACACTGAAGTGGTTTGTCATTTCCTTCTATAGCTGCTTTTGCAGATGAGGAACTGAAGCAAACAGGGTTAAGTGACTTGCCCAGCACCACACAGCTATTAAGTGTCTGAAGCCATATTTGAATTCAGGAAGATGAGTCTTCCTGACTTTAGGCCCAGTGTTCCATCTACTTTACCACCTAGCTACCCAATGAAGCTATCATCAAGTTATTATTGAAGACAAGCATGGAAGGGTTTTTAAGGTTGCTCTCATTAAAGAGAATATGTATCCCAAATGAGAGATAATGAGAGCCCAAATTCAAGTGGTGGCTGTAGGATTGGGAAAAAAAATGAGGCCATTTGAGACAGATGGAAGAGGCAGAACAAGTATTGTTACAACTGAAGAGCTATTAAGGTAAAGGGAGAAAGAAGTCTCAAAAATGATTCTGAGATTTCCAACACAGCTGGGACAAGGATGATGCTATTAACCAAAATGGGGAAATTGTAACAAGGGACAGCTTAACTCTAAAATGTCATTATATTTTCTTGGTCTGAATCTCTAGTTGTACCAGCTGTTTCACCTGATAAAATGTAATCTTCTTAATGGCAGGAATACCATTTTTGACTGTGTATCTCTAATTCTCAGTACAGTTCCTGGAACACAACAAATAGGAAATAAATATAAAATAAGGCAAACAAAAAGCATTTATCTTTGAATAGCATTGAATAAATGCATTATCAAATACAGTATTTAATACAATTTCTTTTTAATTTGGATGATCAAAGTGGCATACACAAATCCCCAAATATATATATAGTGTACTAATTTCTCCATTCTTTCCCATCTATGTTTTAAAATGTTCAGTAATATGTGTTGGTTTTAGGTCACCTTCGTTTACAACTATATCCTTTCCCAGTCTCCTAGGTAGAGTTATCGTATACAACAAAAATAAACAAACAAACAAATAAATAAATAAATGGTAAAAAATATAAAAGAAGAAACAAAGTAGTAAAATAAAGCTAAGAAAAAAAATTAACTGAGAGTGACAGTATATGTAAAATTTCATGTCCATGATTGCTCATCTCTGCAAAGAGGGGAAGGATGGAGGCATATTTTGTCTTTTCTTCTTCAGAGCCAAGTTTTATCAGTACAGTTACACACTTCAAATTTTGATTACTTTTTGTTTTTTTCCATTTACAATATTTTATTCATTGTCTATATTGTTTTCCTGGTGCTAATTATAAATTTTACTGATCTTTTCTGTACTTTTCATATTAATTTTTTCATTATATTCATGTGTCATTATTTGTGTAGCCTAGTTTGTATACTCCAGTTGATCAACCAGTTCACTATCATACCAATAGTGAGAGTACCAGTGTGTGAAAAACATTTACTAGTTAATTTTTTTTTCTGATTTATGCCAATTTTCTGGGCATGAGATGAAACCTCAAAGTTTTGATTTTGATTTCTTTATATTAGTGACAGAGTAATAATCCATGTTATAGTTTATAATTCACTATTCTTTTGAGGCATGTTTTTTTCATATTCTTTGACCATTAATCCATTAAGGAATGAATCCACCTAATTTTAAGCCCACATTTTACACCTTATCTTTAATAGTTTAATATTTTTAAAATATTTCAATTGAATTCAAACTGTGCAAAAAATTTTAACTGCATATGAGATAGAGGGAGGGAGGAAGGGGGGGGGAGAGAGAGAGAGAGAGAGAGAGAGAGAGAGAGAGAGAGAGAGAGAGAGAGAGGGAGGAAGAAGAGAAAGAGAGAGAGAGAGAGAGAGAGAGAGAGAGAGAGAGGAGAGAGAGAGAGAGAGAGAGAGAGAGAGAGAGGTGGTACGGTGGCTAAAATGCTGGACCTGAAGTCAGGAAGAGTCTGTCCTTGGACGCTTAATAGCTATGTCACTCAGCAAGTCACTTAGCTCTTTTTGGCCCAATTCCCCGTCTGTAAAATGACCTGGAGAAGGAAATGGCAAACCACTCTAGTATCTTTGCAAACAAAACCTCAAATGAGGTCTTGAAGAGTAGGACATGACCAAAACAATACAACAACAACAAAATCTATATACGTACGTATCTATCTATTATCTAATTTGGTCATCACTAGAACGTATGAGATAATGTCATTGAAAAGACAGAATTGTTAAAATTGGACATCCCAAATGCTTCTGATTGGCTAAAGCTGCTACCTGGCATGAGAGTCCCTTTAAAGACCTTTCATTAAAAAAAAAAAAAGATGGCAATGTAAACAATGTCTTTAAACTCAAGCACCTGAGTCTGCTCCCTTAGGCTCAGCACACTTGTCTGTTGGAAAGACAGCTAAGTCACATCTTGTCAGCTTTCAGGATGACTTACATATAAAACATTAATTTGTTTGAAAAGCATTTTACTCTTTTTGGTTCTTTATTCAAGTAGAAGGGTGGTCCATTTGTTGTTTACTCCAAACATCTAAGGCCGTGTGCTGTAGAAATAGGGATTCAATTCAATCAATAAGTAGTTGGTTCATTGACAAATATACATAAAATTGAGTAGCCAATTTGATACAAACAGTGAATTCATCAATCCTACAGCTGAGAGTAGCACTTGGTAAATGCCAGAGAACTACTTATGCCCTTCCTTCAAATGATCAAAACGACCACTTGAAAATAGAAAAAAAAATCTAATTTATCATTTTATCTCTATGCCACTAAACAATTAATATTAATTTCATTGAATGGCCTGGGTATTTGGCTGTTATGAGGATATAGCCTTGGGCATCAAGGGGACTAGAGTCCTCAGTTATGGAACATCACACATATGTAAATGTGGAAGCATTGGAAAAACTTCAACAGCTTTCCTTAAGCTAAATAGAAATTAAAATCCAGCTTATCACAGCACCTTGTAATAATATTATAATGAATGATTAATTTAATTCATGCATATGGAAAAGCCTCAAGGAACTCTACTAAAAAGAACAATGTTTTATCACATATGAAATGACTTAAATAGAAAATTAATTGAAAGAAAAGCGAATGAGCAAGGATCCTCTGTAAAAAAAGAACTTCTGCTTTTTAGAATTTGAAGGAAACAGAAGTGACTTTTCTAAATTTAATACACTGTAAATGTGACTTGCTTTCCAAATAATATAACACTATTGTCAATTGTGCATAAAAAATTCACATACAAAAATAAAATACATCACCCTGAAAAGATGTTTTGCAGAATAGACATATCTAAGGGGAAAACAATAAATTTAAAGTCAGCAAGTTAAAGGACAAAAATCAATCTGCTTTCCATGAAATTTGAATAATGTTCATAACTTAAGGGAAAAAATGCACAAACTTTACAATCTACAAATTCCCACTAGTTTTTTAGTGCTGACTTCAAGAATTCCACTACAGTGGAATTATCTCCCTTTCCTAACAAGATAGCTACTCTTACATGAAATTTAAAGATTTCTCAGTGGTAAATATGTTCTCCCCTCTCTCTCTCTCTCTCTCTCTCTCTCTCTCTCTCTCTCTCTCTCTCTCTCTCTCTCTCTCTCTCTCTCTCTCTGTCTCTCTCTCTCTCTCTCACACACACACACACACACACACACACACACACAGAGTTTTCATCAATAATTATCTAAGGTCCATTTCTGCTCATGCACCCTGGAGAATGACCTACTTACATGTGCTTGGCTATGACTTTCCCAGGGGGCACATAGAATCTGGGGAACACTATGGCAACCTTACCATAGTAACATGGTCCTAAAATTCGCTATTCCTCATGCAGCCCAGCCCTAGCCCCAGGTATATATAAGCTCAGTGTCCCCGAACAGACTGTTTTAGACTAAGAAGACTTTTAGAGTAACAAGAGAGATCTAGATAAAGATAAATAAAAAAGATAATATACTTCTTTGAGCACCAAACATACTAGAAGCACATATAAACTTCCATGGAATAAACTATTCTTTGGCAACCTTATTGCTTGATTTCAGAGGAGTAATAGAGATTAGCCTTGTAGTTGATTTCATTTGGTTATTAACACGTTACAATAGGTATCAGTCATTTTTCAATCTTGCAGTTTTATTGTGAAGTGCAATTTCCAAAGGTGACACAAGATTACACCCATAGACTAGG